ACCGTAACTCACAGCCTGGGAGAATGAAGTACACAAACATACACACGCACAACCCTACGGGGCTTAACACGGCCGTGCTGGTTTCGATGTACAACTGATAGTGGCCTGGAGCAGCATAAAATGGACAGAGACTGAACATGCATACAGAGCTAGACGTGTCACTGTTATTGTTTTATAATAATGTCTTGCATTCTTCTATGGATTACGCAATCAATTGGGAAACCATCGAAACCTGTTGCCTGTGCACTGTAAATGACTTCAAGCTTAAAGGGATAGTTCTTCCTTTGACATACTTTCTTCCATCAAACACAAAAGGAGGACTTTTTAAGAATTGTACTGGTCAAACATTAAAAATGCAATCCCCTGCAACTGGATCATTGATTTAGTGAGTCGAGAACGAGTCAGGTTTGTGAATGAATCCAGACCTGTTTTGTAAACTGTATCAACTGAATCACTGAAAAGATTCAGTTCACTCACAATTCCAGAAACTGCTACTTTTCATTTCACATGAATGCACCTAGGATGAATGTAATATAACACACGAGTAATATTAACTACTTTTAAGGTGCTTTTGCATCCTATTTGAAGCTTCAGTCTCCATTCACTGCAATAAAAAGTACAAATTCTCCAAATTTCTCCTTTTCTGTTTCCCTGAAGAAAGAGTCTGAGATTTGAAACGACTTCAAGTTTGAGTAAATAATGCCAGAATTATAATTTAAGGAAACGTTTCTGGGGGGGAAGTGTGCCAAAACAGAAAGTCAGAGGGGACCATAAATGATTTATTATCCTTAAGGATCGGTTTTGTATTGAGTAAATATTTGCATATACACAACAGTTCAAAAGTTTAGATTCTGTGAGATTTTGTGTTTTTGAAAGAAACCTCTTATGTTCACGAGGCTCCATTTATTCGATCAAAAATACAGTAAAAGCTGTGAATCGGTATTACAAGTTAAAATTACTTTTTTATTTTAATATATTTTTTAATTTTTGCAATGCAATTAAAGCTGAATTTTCAGCATGATTTCTCCAGGCTTCAGTGTCACATGATTGTTCAGAAATCACTCTTTTGCTGCTCAAGAAACATTTATAATTATTATTATTATCAATGTTGAAAACAGTTGTGCAGCTAAATATTTTTATGGAAAACCCTTATACATTTTTTCCAGGATTTTTTGATGAATAGAAAGGACAAAAGAGCAGCATTTACTTAAAATATAAATTAAGGGAAAAAGTAAAAATCTTTACTGCCACTTGATGAATTGAATGCATATTTAAATTATTATTATTATTTTTTTTTAAAGTGTGTGTGCGTGTATATAAACCCTCCAAAACTGAGAGAAAAAAAAAAACAATAGTGAAGTTTCATGCAATGTTTCTGAAAGCGTCAGTGAGCTCACAGAAACAACCTTTGACTGCTGATGAAATTAGAACAGGACTCGACAGGCCTACAGTCTGTGTGCCAAATGGCGACCGAAACCCACGACAACAGACGAAACCTGGCAGCACCGTGTGGATAGGGAGGAGGGAAGTTACGGGGAGGGCCAACAAACTGAAGGAGTAATGCAAAGTGCACAGTCAGTTACACACAGGCCCACACTTGTCCCAAACAGGGGGAGGGGGGGGGGGGGGGGGGGGGAAGCGGAGCATCTTTCAGCTGACATTCTCGTAATATCATTATGTTTTTATGGTGACTGAAAGGCTTACTGTTGAACCTGGGAGGGAAAAATGCTTTCTGCTGATGAAACCGTTTCGCTGAGCTGATTCACCACACAAACAGAACACGGCAGAATTTGAAGAAGAATTACAAAATACAGTTACGCAGCAAAGTTAAAAGTGTACAGCAACACACCTAACCATAAATCTGGGTAGTAATAATACTAGCAAGCACCACAATTAAAGCAAATAGGCAACTTCCTCATGGGAAAATACGTTAGCTATCTGAAAAAAGATCCATTAAATAATGCTCGCCGTCTTGTACCAGAGAGATCTGGACTCGATCCAAAAATCATAACATTTCATCTTAGCGATAACAATACAATGGCTGGTGACAGTTAATGCTACAGTGAAAGATAAAAGAACGGGACCAACTAATTTTCATTCATCTATATACGTCATCCACATCAAATCTATGCACACTTTATTGTCTTAAAATCCATTCCGCAGATTTTCTCCCAAAATCAGCACAGAAAATGTGAAATCGTATCCGTCACGTGCATCAAAGCAGTACTAGAACTTGTGTCATTGTTTATTGAACTTGTAGTTCATTTTAGAGCCTTGGCAGAAATAAAGACTCTCAATTCATATTTTGGGTTTCACTGTCACACAAAGCAATCGTAAGACTTGGTATAAAAAGCACACAAATCACATGGACTAGTCAATTTTGCTTTTATTATTTTGTCCTTTTTTTGAAGCTTAAAGTTGAAAAAGAGCTACGTGAAGATTCTTCAAATTTCTCCATTTCTGTTCCACAAAACAAAAGATTTTGGGGTGAAATATTCATTTAGATTTATCATCTTTTGTCAGGTTCGGCAAAGCAGTATCTTCTCCTCCTTGTTCTCTGTGTACAGTTAATGTAACACCATTTTTAATTTGTAATGTACTAACAGACGCATAGACCAACAGACTATACTGTATATCCACAGCAGGGAGAGGTTCTGAGCTGTGAGAGGTGTATAAACTGGTTTTAAGGCGGTGAATAACTATAGCCAGGCGAACAGGTATGAGAAGGGGCTGTTGAGTGTTTTTTTGGACGTTTATAATACAAGCCTCAACTTCCCTCCTGAAAGTTCAATTCTCATTAAAAATTCTCCATAGATGTTCACAAAGTAAAAAAAAAAAGGAGTAATTTCTTGATGGAATTATGTCAAACAGCAGTTTCCTTTAAATATAATTTGCTGTGACAGCAAAGGTGAATTTTCTTAAAATAATTACCAGGTAGTGTGGTGAAAATGGTCAATTCCGCTTACTACATACAGTGCGGCTTGCTAACTAAAAAACAAAGAGCTCTCAGTATGTGGGTTGCAGATTTGCTGCCAGCCTCACTAATTATTCTACAGCCTAACCTCATTACAAAAAAAAAAAAAATTTCATAAATTTCAAAAAAAGTAATTTCATTGGAGAGAAAGTGTAACCGTAAGGTCAACAGAGCCACCCAAGTTGAGCTGTCATTTTCACCCGTCACTGAAATCAGATCAGCTCTCACCACAGTTGGTTCTGGTGGAAAGAGCTTTCATCCTGGAGAACATCCAAAAACACCTTCACAAAGATCTAAGTAAGGTCACGCCAAATGCTTGTATAAAATAGTGGGTGTACAAGAGTCAGTTCCCATCAAGGGTTGGGGGGGGGGAAGAAAAAAAAAAATAATAAAAAAAAAACCTTTTCATATATTCATACTTAAGATTCTAGACATGAGCCATGCAATGGTCACACAGGAAATCAAATGAGTTGGGCTACTAAAATAATGAATAACATAGTAAAGTTAACTATGTGAATTAAGAGCCAACAGTAATGCATTTAATAATTTTAAAAGGCGAACAGTCGGCAGCACAAATGGTATGGGACAAGCTTTTTACCCAAGGTTGGTGCCTTAACGAGCTAATTTAATAAATGGAATAAATAACATGTATAATGTCTCAGTAAAGCACAGTGGCTGAGGTGCTGGTGGTGGGTTCGTACCTGGCAATCTGGTTGACATAAGGCTTCAGTTCATTTGGCTCATAGGCTCGGGCGAAAGCCCAGCACACGTAGCAGGCTGCATCACGTACGTTCGATCCCAAACTGCATGCGCCCCTTTTCTCATCATATGTCAGAGCTTTTATAATCAGAGGCACCACTGTAGAATGCAGACAAAATATTAGTATGCAAAACGAATTACTTTTGTAATCTAAAATATTTCTAAAGATTTATATATGCATTTATTTGATCAAAAATACTGTTAAAAAAAGTAACATTGTCCAATATTATAATTTATAATAATTGCTGGCTTCAGTTCATTTGGCTCATAGGCTCGGGCGAAAGCCCAGCACACGTAGCAGGCTGCATCACGTACGTTCGATCCCAAACTGCATGCGCCCCTTTTCTCATCATATGTCAGAGCTTTTATAATCAGAGGCACCACTGTAGAATGCAGACAAAATATTAGTATGCAAAACTAATTACTTTTGTAATCTAAAATATTTCTAAAGATTTATATATGCATTTATTTGATCAAAAATACTGTTAAAAAAGTAACATTGTCCAATATTATAATTTATAATAATTGCTTTTTTTTTATTTGAATATATTTTAAAATGTAAATTTCTGTTTTGCCAAAGCAGAATTTTCAGCATCATTACTCCAGTCTTCAGTGTCACATGTTCCTTCAGAAATCATTCTAATAAGCTGATTTGATGCTCAAGAAAAAAAATTGCTCTTATTATTGTCAATTTTGAGAGTTGCGCTGCTTAATGTTTTTGTGAAAACCGTGATACTTCAGGATTTCAGGATTCTTTGATGAATAGAAAGTTCAAAAGAACAGCATCTATTTGAAACGGAAATCTTTTGTAACATTATAATTGTCTTTACCAACACTTTTGATCAATTTAATGCATTCTTGGTGAATAAAAGTTTTAATTGCTTATAAAATATCTTAATGACTCCACACATTGATTTAGATTATTGCACATTCATAATAAAATGTGAGTGGTGCATAAATACACACAGACACACACAAAAGGGAGAGAGTATTGATAGTTGCCATTGGAAGAACCTCATTACAAGGAATTGTCTTCTAAAATCTTAGGTGGAGCTGAAATTGAGTTCATGATTCATGCTGTGTATGTAAATAAACGTGAATAAATTTTTCAAAACAACACTAAAATCTACCATTCAATTTAGTTACATTAAAATAAGATCCAGATCTGGCAAAAAATAACTGCATTTTCATAACCATGCTGAAAGACACTTCACATCAGGTGTAGCGCACACATTTGGATTCATGCAAATCTCACTGGTTGTCCTCAAGATCTCCACACCCCTCTGACAACATCCTCAAACCTGCTTCACACCTAACTCTACCACTCCTGGGCTAATTCAACCATTCAGGCAAACAAAAGCCACAAACAGTCTTGTCTGGCTTCTCATCCATGTGGATTCTTGCTAGCTGGTGAGATAGGAGGCAAACTAGCAACGTATCGTGGCTTGGGGCTTGCCAAATATCAGGCACATTGATGCTGCCTCAGGGCTCTACTGCTTGGGCATAGACTCCACCCCACAGAGTCAACACCTCAGAGAGGACGTGAGAGACTCATCAGAAACTAGACGGAACACCTAAACGAACAGACACCCGCTCTCAAGGACAACCACATCGTCCAAACTTTTCCACTGTGGGACCATCATACGTTTCAGGAGGTCCACTGTGGACATACATCCATTGACGATACATCCAACATCCCAAACAACGAGTCTAAATACAGGTAAGGCTGCAACAATGTCACTAAGATTTCCAATGGTAACTGTTCTTATTGCTGTTCACATGTACTTTTAGCGTTTGTAAAGGCTGAATTGCTGATGTATTTTGTAGCAGGTGTTTCAGGGGTAGCTCTAAATTGATGCACCTGTTACACTACATCGGGTAGAAAATATTCTAATGCATTTGCCATGTGGTTGTACATGTAATATTCAGTCTATATCTTAATAACCAAAAAATTCCATTTAGAAATGTAAAGTCTTATATTATGCTGAAATCTCAAGACATCGTTGTACCCAAAGAAGAATGACTAAGAACCAAGAAACAAGGAAACGTGATATACAACAGCAAAATGAAATACAAAAATTCTTTAAATTGTGCCTTGAGGAGGGAGCGGCTTCGTATGAAACATGGGAGCCAAAACCTGAGCCACCACTTCTTGCGACAGCATGTGACAAACAGGTTCCTTAAGGCGGAGTCATTTTCTGCATAACTTGCCTGGCAATCTCTTTCGTCAATCTTCTGCTTCCCAATACAAACCTTCAGGCCCCAAAATCTTTGCACACTTACCGGACCATTATGTATCCTGATTGTTGTGCAGAATTGCAGAAGTAATTTCCTTCAAGCACTGAAGCAGTTCAATTGGTTGCAGATGTTATAACAGACTAAATTTCCTTCTAATAGCTCTGGTAGCTTCTCTACATTTACAGTGCAAGTGAGATAAATTTTTAAATGTCTGGAGTTTGTATCCTGCAGGTAAGGTCATGGGAAACAGGTGTATGTGGTTTCCCACGCCATCAGGTTTTGAAAAAGGGGAGCATGTTTCTACAGGCCTACTCTGGCTTCAGCAGTGCAGCTAGATCATGTCATGCTAACACGCAGGCCAACAAATAATACAGAACAGCTACAGCCTAGTTAAAAAGTTAAGGGAAAGTGAGCATGCAAACTTGTGTTTTATTGGGTCACTAACCTTTCTGACCCAACAAACAGAAGACGCTCTGCTCCAGGGTGTGGCAAAACGGTTAAACTTTTTCTTTTTTCTTTAAGGCTGACAAACCACGCAGTATTGGATTTGAACAACTGCACCAGTATGGACACTCTCCAGGGAAGAAAACCGAAGAAACCTCATTACATTCCCCGCCCTGCTGGCAAACCATTCAAATATCAGTGTTTCCAATGTCCCTTCACCTGCAACATCAAGTCTCATCTCTTCAACCACATGAAGTATAACCTGTGCAAGAACTCCATCTCTCTGGTGTCTCAGCGCATGGAACAGACAGGGAAAATGCAGAGAACTTCCCAGCATAATTTTCCCTTCAACCACAAGAGTAAAGAGCCACCCCTGGAAGCTGAAGCCAACAAACCTACAGAGAGGGTCAACGACAAGGTTGAACAAGAGGAGATGGGTAAAGGAACAAGAGAAACGCCTGAAAGTCCCATCAAGGAGGTCACTAAAGATGCCCCTGAGCCAATCTGTGAGACCAGGGACAAAAATGGAGACATAGACATTGAACAGAACAAAATATATTCAGCTTTCTCACCGGTTGCACAAACATGTGAACGCGAAGCTCTATCTCGGTCTCCACACAAAGATGATCAATCATCTTCAGCCATTCCTCAGTTTTACCACCAAATGGCACCCTGGGTCCCACCTGCTTCCACAGCACCACTTCTTCCTCTAATAACGGACTATCCGTCATACATGGTATCTGAGAGGCCCTTGCATTCTCTCTACACACCCTACTCACACAACCAAGCAAACACCCCAGCCTACCAACTTACATCTCGAGAGACCCAAAGACCTCTTGTTCCATCACCTTTGGTCCCACCTAGTACTTCCCTTTTCCATCCTTATCACTACAGATACGGCCATTCTATTATCCCTGGCCCACCTCTACCCTACAGCATCTACCAACACCCTGAATTTCCCATGTCCTTACAGAGAACCAGGTATCTTCCTCTGGATGTGTACAGCAACAGATTTTATCTTCGAGAGTATGGAGGGCATCTAGTACCCCTACCTCATCCTGATTCTTACAGCAGACTTCCTGAGGACAGGGCTTTCCAGGAGCACAATACAGTAGACAAAGGTACTCGCCAGAGTCCTATAGCAGGGTGTGCCGCCTCCGGGTCTCCAGACAGGCCTAGTACCGCAGATGTCACCCAGCGGATCCCTGTTACACTCAGGCACGCTTCTCATGGGGAGTCATTCCCAGTTAGTCAATCACAGCATGTTGAACCAGCGGCAACTACAGCAACTGAAAACTTACCCAAGAAATCATGTGGACAAACTCAAGAGAGCATGTTACAAAATAAAGAGAGGTAGGTTAACTCTATGCAGCTATGTAATTACACTTTAAATCACAATCAAATAAAATAATATCTTGTCAGGTTGCCCACAAGCAAGTTAATGATTACTCTACTCTTTACATATTTTTATTTATCTTTTTAGGAATGAACCACAAACCACAGCTTCTGCAAGAAGCTGTGAGATTTCATCAGAAAAGGAAGACGAAGAAACCGAGGAAGAACCAGCTCCTCTTAACCTTTCAAAGAGGGACCGGGCTGTATCCAGCAACATGACACACCACTACTCTGACTGCGAGCTCCATTATGATTCAGAAAGTAGTCAAGAAGAAGCACCGCTCAACCTCTGCCTCAGGGTTCAGTCCAACAACCTAGCCTTGCCCAACACCACAGGCTCTGATACTCCAGAAAGACAAACCATTATAAATGCTGAGGTATGCACAATTGTTCCACCCAGAGAACAAGAAATAGACCCATGTGACCAGAGACACTCTGCTGCCTTCGCTCTGTGTCAGCTAGCTAGCTCAAAGGACATTATCATTGACTCCTCTATTGACCAACAAGAAATGACTGAGGGCCAGAACAGTCAAAGTCCTCCTCCCCCAGACAAGAGCCCAGCCAAAGACACTCCAGACACACCAAAACAGAGCACACGGGGACAAAAACGGGTAAACAATAGACCTCTGAGGCACACTAACAAAAGAGCAAAGGTCAAAGAACCTGCTCGAACTCAAAGAAAGAGGTCACAAAACTGCTGATTCAGAGATCCCAAAGTGTGGACTGCTGCAACTCAGACAGAAACGAGCTCCAGTGAAAAGATCAATACTCAAGAGACTTTACAGGAAGACGGCCAACATCTACATTAAAGTCTTCAAATATTATTCTATTTATGTCTGTAAAATTGCTTGTCATTATTGTTCAAAGGTCATGGGATCAATTCCAAGGGTATGCATGAACTGGCAACTTTAATGTAAGCTGCTTTGGACAAAAGCATTTGCTTAATGCATAAATGTAAATACAGATAATTCCAAAATATTCTTAGTGTATAACATTAAGCACTGATTGGAAGAAAAATGGCAGCCCAGATTGTACACTGAGAATCTTGTGTGCTTTGAGAAAACATGTAACAGATCATTAAAGGGAGATGGGTGGTGGCATTTAAAAAAAATAAATAAATAAAGGATCTTGTTAAACTTGAAGTATTTGAATTAAGTGTTTGCATAAAGTGAACTATGTTTGCTTATAAATGTTTTTGAAACATGAGTATGGTGTAGGGGAGGTACGATGATTATAGCTATAATATTAAAATTTATGTCAGAGAAAAAGAAAATCCAGTAGCTTTCAAACTGAATACAAAAAAAAATAAAATACAAGCCAACCATCTGAGAGACGGGAAGGAAGCAGCAGTCCTCTTCGGCCAAGCTCTGCAAGAGCCAAGCAGCCTCCATGCCAGGCATTATCTGTTTCCTGAAAACTATAAAATGTGAAGACATAAAAGTAATTGAAAAATACCTCACTAAGTATTTGAAAACACATCATAACATCTCTGCCTCCTTTTATATCATGACGCACCTGAAACACTCTAAAACAGACTCAACCACATCATCTGCAAGCTGTTTAGGTAGTCTACCAGTTACCCTTCCAATCCTGTAGGTGGTTAAAAGGAGAAAGACCAGTTAAACATAGAATAGAACTCTAGGGATTATTACAGAGAAATATGGCATTAAAATATAGCACTATCACACCTAGACCAGATAACTGTTCTCACCCCTTGGCAGAAGACCATCTCACTATTGTCTCTTTGTCTTTCAGTCCCACCAACAGTTGTTCTGCAACAATGAATAAGCAAATTAGCAGTACATGAGAGCATTTAATAATTGAGCAAATAAAACAAACAGATATGAAAATGTGCATGGATACTTACCAATGATATTTTCTACCTCCTCAGGTATGTCGTAGTCTTCCTCCTGACTGACAGACTCTAGATCAAGTTTTGTAGCCTCTACACTTTCAGTGACAGAAGACTGGGCCAGGTTCACTGCGAGTGACCGACTTCCTCTCTGGTATCTAGATGTAGTCAGACAAAATACTTACTTAAAAAACTAGCTAATACTTGTTTTAAGCATCCTTTGTTTCATTTCATCATAATCTGTCAATACGTCGTCACTCCTCAATTACCTCCATTTGGCCAAACGTGGTTTTAGAAAGGTCAAGCCAAGTCTCTGGACCACTTTTACACCCAGCTTACGCAATGTGGCCTGGTTACTCTCCGCTATTCTCTTCTGATTCAGGCACTGAAGCACTGTTGGGGCTTCGAACGGTCCGGCAAAGATTAGTAAGCATTTATCCATGTTCTGGTTTTATAGAGACCAAAGAAAGACCTTAAGGACATATACATACCATATTGCAGGAAATCATCACGTTTCCCATGCTTGAAGAGCTGGGCCTGGTGAGAAATAAAATATTTATTAAAAATCAAAATATTGATGAGATGATTTTCAATTATTTTAAACATTTTATCAAAATCTAAAAAACACTGTGGTACACATACCCCTAGGTGGTAAATAAAGAACTACCCTAACGACCCACTTGAAATCTGAGCGATACTTTATCTATACTGTATATCATCAAGTTGATATTAAGCCAAATTTATTCAACCCATTTTCAACATGTCTGAATCCCGTTAATCTTAGTGCCAGCAGCAGTTTCATGTAATTATCAAGTTTAAAAGTGCACCGCACATGTTCCTGCTCACAGCCTTGTGGCACTTAAAGCATATATGCAAAACACTGATGGCAGTTTTAGCACCCCAGGCATTCTCAACACACAGAGCCAGTTTTGAGCGCCTCGGGTGATAGAGACGCGCTTCACAAAAGAATAACAGCAGCAGGATCGTTTTCACAGCTCTCTGGACTTTAAACCATGCATGATGTTTCATTGCAAAGAAACTAATTCTGATAAAGATCAGTCACGGCAATGAGCGATTATCAGCATTTTAACACAGCAGTGTAAACAAAAACACAGGTAGGAGGGCATGTAACCACTGCCTCTCTAGGCTTTAGCAGGTATCGCAAGCAAATGTGTGCAGCTACTAAAAAAAGTGCAGGAATTACAGGCCTAAAGGAGGCCCATTCACACCTAGAACAATGACTATAAAGATAACTATATTAACATCTACTGCAAATGACAATAATATTCTGTTTATTATTGCCAAGCATTTGAATGTTCAATATTTTCATTCTCCTGAAAAGAAAAGGAGGAAGTGGAGAACATAAACAGTCCTACATGTGACTGGAGGCTCACCAGAGATTGCAAAGCTCCATCAAGGGTCACAGTTCCCTCCATGGTAACCTCACTGGTCTGAGAGATGGTTGTCAGACACCAGTCCAGAAAATCACCCAGACGCTTCTGCTTCACATCTGGACGAGTCACAAACCTGTGCAGATAATACAAATCCTTCAAGCAAAGAAATAATCTAAGTGTTTAAACAGTGCCCTCTACTGGTCAGGGAGTAAAGCTGTCAATATTTTGCAATAAACACCACTTTTGGATATCATAAGAGTGGAAATCATTTCTATAACATACGAAAACTATGCTGGGCGAAATCTTTTTTTTTTTTTTTTTCAGAACTTTAAACTAGCCATTTAAACAAGTGGATTCAACATGATATATAAATAAATGAATGAATGAATAAATAAATACAAATTTAAGTGTAAAACTCAAATGAATCCAAGGAAGAACAATATTTAATTATATGCACCAATATACTGTACATTAGTAGGCTAAAGTACTAAACAACAAAATGTATCTGCGTATACATTTTACTAAAACACTTTATTATATGAAGACTTATGACTGATGATGCAAATGAGTCACTTAATCAGTGTTTGGAATATATTATCAGTTTGAAAGGATTCATGAAAGAGAATTTAATTGAACCAGCTCAAAGGCTGTATTGTCTACTTAAGTTTAATAAGAGGCATTTTTAAATCATTTTAGTCTTAACCCTCTCATTCTGGTAAGACACAGAAGCATGGTGAATACTGTCTAATGAGACACTCTTTAGAAAATGAAAGGCCAAAAAAAAATGTTAGGTTTACACTGTTGCTTAATTTTATATAAATTTTGCCAGGCAAAACATTTAATTATTTGACATATTGCCCAGTGTTACACAGATAATAAACACACTTATAGGGGAAAGAACACATAACATGTAACTTACTTTGATACCAGCACTGATGCAGCATCTCGAGATTTGTCACTCACTCTGAGAAAGGACTGCAGCAAAAATAATTAATGACACATAGGTAACGATAAGTATAAGTTAAAAAAATATGATTTGCAAAACTGACAATAAATTAATAAAAAAAAAAAATAAAAAAAAAAGGCTTACTAATTTGACTCATTGACATTCAATACAAATGTTGACAAGTCTATGAGTGGTCTGTGATTGTGTGTGTTACCTTGGCAACAGCCAGAATCCGATCCATGGTGGACTCTCTGTTCAGCCCGGGGTCAGTGGACAGGTGGCCGTCCAGACGGGACAAGTCAAAGGGAATGAGACATGTCATGGAGAGCCAGAGGAGGAGTATGTAGCGTGTTTCCCAGGTCTAATACAGAAACATACAGTCACTACCTAGATGATCTTGTGCTTTTGGAAGGGTAAATTACAAATAACACACATGGATGCTATTTTTCCAGATGTGATAAATGGTGACCTGCTGCAACTACTTACTACCTGAGGATTTCTTGGAAGGACTTCCAAGAAGGGTTTTAAAGTCCCCCTGCAGTCAATATTGTTAACCCTTAAAACTCACCTTTGATAATAAAATGACACATTTAAAGGGGTCATATGATGCGATTTCAATTTGTCCTCTCTCTTTGGAGTGTTACAAGCTCTTGGTGCATAAAGAAGATCTGTAAAGTTGCAAAGACTAAAGTCTCAAATCCAAAGAGATTTACTTTATAAAAGTTGAGTCAGCCACGCCTACCTAAAACGGCTCGTTCTAACACACCCCCACATATCTGCATCACTATGTGGGAAGATTTGCATAACGCCACCCAAATGTTCACGCAAAGAAAGAAGGCGTAACTTTTATTCTCGCTGTAGTATTGTTGTTGCCGCCGCCGCCATGTCGTGAAGGCACTGTGTGCTTTGTTGTGAAAGTGAAACTACTTTGTTTGGTCTTCCAAAAGAGGAGGATATCGCTTCGTCATTCCTAGATCTGATCCGTGCTGGTCGCTGAGGAAATACTTCAACTTCGCGCTGTCGATCGCCGGATCGGCTTTCACCGTGGACGAAGCGGAGTCCAGCCCGGGGTCGTCACATGTGGTTGCCGCAGGCATCCCATTATGGTAAGGGACGTAACATTTCCGTCACACGCTTGAGGAATTTGGCCAATCACAACGCACTGGATAGCTGGCCAATCAGAGTACACCTTGCTTTTTCAGAACGATGAGCTTTGTATAAATCGACGCGTTTCAGAAAGGCGGGACATAGAGGAGAAACAATATTGTACAGTATGTGGAAAATAAGGTTTTTTGAACCTTAAACCGCATAAACATTTCATTACACCAAATACACAAAATAATGTTCTTTTTAGCAGCATCATATGATCCCTTTAAACATTTATTTCACTAAAAAGCTGTCACTCATCTTAGTTCATCGTGATCTCACAAACTAAGTAGTAGTGGCTGGGATAGATTTTAAATATCAATTCCACTTAAAAAGATGCAATCTTATCCTGTTTACATGAAATAAGCCTGCTCACAAGCAGGTTTAAGATTATGGACCTGACGTACGAAGAACGGACCCCAGGTCTGGTATAAAGAATGTTTTTGCTCAGGTAGCCGAAATGTCCACCCAATAGAGAAAATTTTTGCTCAGAAAAAAAATAAAAACATTTTTTAGAGTGAACATTGACCACAGGGAGTCTTTAACTAACATTATAAGTGAAATTTAGGCGGAAATTCAAATATATGATCTGACCTATGTAAGAACTCTAGACATTAATTTAGCTTGTATGATTATGTGTTACACTGTGGGGCTCATTACAGAGCCTATGATAAGTAACCTCAGTGTCTTTTGGGTCCTGTCTGCATAAAAGGTCCAGAACCGGCTGAACATCTGAGACCTCATGGGGGAACAGCTGCATGAAGATCTTGTAGCCTCTGACCTGCGGAAGCAGCAGGAATCACAAAATCAAGACACAAACCCACAAATCACTCTTTCTGTGATTTCAGAGAGATTATCAGTCAAACTTAGAGAGCTGTACAACCATCTTGCCTTTGAGATGATGTAGAGAAATTTGAAACAGAGATGGACCATTAGAGGTGGCGACTTCTCATTGCGGATCATCTCCAAGAGCATGTTCAGCATCCACTCTGCACAACAGCAAATAAAGCGTTACTAACAGTGTTCAATCACAGAGCACATTCATCATGCCCATCACATTCATCGCTTTAACTTACCTAAGTGAGGATCCAGAAGATGTGGCTGTTCTTGGTAGCGATCCATGATAACTGCAAAAAGTTACCCAACGCACAACTTGACATTTTAAACATATCATCTTATATATTGCGCATACAAAAAAATTATACAAACACACATCAACATACTCTTTTGCATTTCAATAAACAATAGCCAAGTAGATAGATAAAGACAGACAGACAGACAGACAGATAGATAGACAGATGCAGTCAGACAGATCGAAAGAAAGATACAGACAGACAAAGAGATATATAGATAGACAGACAGACAGATGTACATGTATACTAAGCTTTGGCAATATTGTATCATTTACATTCATGCCAATAAAGCAATTTTGAATTGAATTGAATTGATAGATAGATGCAGTCAGACAGATAGATAGATAGATGCAGTCAGACAGATAGACAGATAGACAGATAGATGCAGGCAGGCAGGCAGACAGATAGATAGACAGATGCAGTAAGATAGAAAGAAAGATCCAGACAGAGAAAGAGATAGACAGATAGATAGACAGATAGATACAGACAGACAGATAGATAGATAGATAGATAGATGCAGTCAGACAGATAGAAATAAAGATGCAGACAGACAGAGATATATAGTTAGACAAACAGATAGATAGACAGATAGATACAGACAGAGAGACAGACAGATAGATAGATAGATGCAGTCAGACAGATAGAAATAAAGATGCAGACAGACAGAGATATATAGTTAGACAAACAGATAGATAGACAGATACAAGTAGATAGATAAAGACAGACAGACAGACAGACAGATAGATAGACAGATGCAGTCAGACAGATAGAAAGAAAGATACAGACAGACAAAGAGATATATAGATAGACAGACAGACAGACAGACAGACAGACAGATGTACATGTATACTAAGCTTTGGCAATATTGTATCATTTACATTCATGCCAATAAAGCAATTTTGAATTGAATTGAATTGATAGATAGATGCAGTCAGACAGATAGATAGATAGATGCAGTCAGACAGATAGAAAGAAAGATACAGACAGACAGACAGACAGATAGATAGATAGATAGATAGATAGATAGATAGATAGATAGATAGATAGATAGATAGATAGATAGATAGATAGATAGATAGATAGATAGATAGATAGATAGATAGATAGATAGATAGATAGATAGATAGATAGATAGATAGATAGATAGATAGATAGATAGATAGATAGATAGATAGATAGATAGATAGATAGATAGATAGATAGATAGATAGATAGATAGATAGATAGATAGATAGATAGATAGATAGATGCAGTCAGACAGATAGATAGATAGATGCAGTCAGACAGATAGACAGATAGACAGATAGATGCAGGCAGGCAGGCAGACAGATAGATAGACAGATGCAGTCAGATAGAAAGAAAGATCCAGACAGAGAAAGAGATAGACAGATAGATAGACAGATAGATACAGACAGACAGATAGATAGATAGATAGATGCAGTCAGACAGATAGAAAGAAAGATACAGACAGACAGACAGATAAATAGACAGATAGATAGATGCAGTCAGACAGATAGATAGATAGATAGATAGATAGATGCAGTCAGACAGATAGAAAGAAAGACAGACAGACAGACAGACAGATAGAAAGAAAGATACAGACAGACAGAGAGACAGACAGACAGACAGATAGAAAGAAAGATACAGACAGACAGAGAGACAGACAGACAGACAGATAGAAAGAAAGATACAGACAGACAGAGAGACAGACAGACAGACAGATAGAAAGAAAGATACAGACAGACAGAGAGACAGACAGACAGACAGATAGAAAGAAAGATACAGACAGACAGAGAGACAGACAGACAGACAGATAGAAAGAAAGATACAGACAGACAGAGAGACAGACAGACAGACAGATAGAAAGAAAGATACAGACAGACAGAGAGACAGACAGACAGACAGATAGATACAGACAGACAGACAGATAGATGCAGTAAGACAGATAGAAAGAAAGATACAGACAGACAGACAGACAGACAGACAGACAGATAGAAAGAAAGACAGACAGACAGATAGAAAGAAAGATACAGACAAAGAGCTATATAGATAGACAGACAGAAAGATACAGACAGACAGATAGATAGATAGACAGACACATGACAAACTGTCTTACCCACAAATTTCTCGATGGTGGCCTCTCTGCTGACCGTGTCGTGATGAATGTCCGGGAGATTGTTGATGAGAGCTCGAGCCTCTCCTCTCTCACTGAACTCGGACAGCAAGCACGCCTCAGTGACCACCTCTGGCTCCTCTCCATCACACACAGCCTCCATCGCCGACATCATCTGTCGCTGTAATGGCAGGGATCTTGCTGACTGATCAGAATTCAAATGCGCTAAACGTGCGTGTTAAGGTTTGTTTGGAGTGTCTCAAACCCAGCAGTATCCAGCTGGATATATCTCCTCAGACTAGAAGATCTGACAGATTCAAGCTGAAGTCGCCACCGCTCACAATGACGCGCTAATTTCTCTTCAAACTCCAGCTGCAGTCACTTCTCAGTTTCTCTAATACACTGCAAAACATACATTAAAAGCGACTCCCTGTCTTCGTCAAAAGATTTACAAGTCGTCTTAAAAATGGCATAATCTGATAAGTGCGTAGTGAATGAAGTCGAATGCGCCCGGCGCATTATTATGATGATGATCGCACCGGTGCTGTCGCGCACGGCAACGGCAAGTAGAGAGGATCAAAAGAAAAAGAAAAAACGCGTTTTTACTTCAAGTTTGGAGTCTTTACAACGTGAAAGAAATGTTAAAAGCTTATTTTCCGTCATAAAATTTTGTTTTTACTACAATGTCGTAGTTAATATACTAAAAGGAACAATAACTAAACGGGCCTATCAGTATTAAAACTTAGCTTAGCCACCACAGTCATCAATAAACTCTCATTGACGAAGATATTTATTTTACAAAACCATCCATCCACCCATTTCCCGAACCTAAACTTAGTATCACGGGATTTTACATTAATTTAACAATTAATTTAAAGTAAGTTAATGATGATGACTATATTACTGGTTATTGTGAATTCTTTTTCAGCAGGGAATTCAAATGCGCTAAACGTGCGTGTTAAGGTTTGTTTGGAGTGTCTCAAACCCAGCAGTATCCAGCTGGATATATCTCCTCAGACTAGAAGATCTGACAGATTCAAGCTGAAGTCGCCACCGCTCACAATGACGCGCTAATTTCTCTTCAAACTCCAGCTGCAGTCACTTCTCAGTTTCTCTAATACACTGCAAAACATACATTAAAAGCGACTCCCTGTCTTCGTCAAAAGATTTACAAGTCGTCTTAAAAATGGCATAATCTGATAAGTGCGTAGTGAATGAAGTAGAATGCGCCCGGCGCATTATTATGATGATGATCGCACCGGTGCTGTCGCGCACGGCAACGGCAAGTAGAGAGGATCAAAAGAAAAAGAAAAAACGCGTTTTTACTTCAAGGTTGGAGTCTTTACAACGTGAAAGAAATGTTAAAAGCTTATTTTCCGTCATAAAATTTTGTTTTTACTACAATGTCGTAGTTAATATACTAAAAGGAACAATAACTAAACGGGCCTATCAGTATTAAAACTTAGCTTAGCCACCACAGTCATCAATAAACTCATTGACGAAGATATTTATTTTACAAAACCATCCATCCACCCATTTCCCGAACCTAAACTTAGTATCACGGGATTTTACATTAATTTAACAATTAATTTAAAGTAAGTTAATGATGATGACTATATTACTGGTTATTGTGAATTATTTTTCAGCAGGCTGGCCATATTATTTGAAGCTAGTAGCCATTCATTTCTTTTGACACAATTTGGAGACAAACGTTTTGATATGTTCAGGCTATGGACTTGCCAACTTCCACACTACCAGGATTTTTTCAGTCGTAAAAGTTTACTTATAGCTTCCTGCCAAAGAAAACACACGGAACTATTGGAGGTTTTCACTTCAATCAAAAACACACCAACACAAAGTTGTTTTAAAAGTTTTATTTGAATGTCCAAACATCCTTTATATATCTGATGAGACTCCCGCAAGCTGCAAGTTTACAGTACAACAAGCTCACTAGCTCTTTTAATAAGACGTTTTAAATCATCAGTAGATTAACAGTTAGCAACTTATCATATGATGCTACTCAGTGCACACATTTTAAATCAAGCAGTCTTGTAAATGAGGCTCTCTTCAAGAGCATAATCAAGTTAAAGTGCAATTCACAACAAAAAAGGAATTATGTATTTTAAACAACTTATTTTTGGCCATTGTTTGGAAGCATAAATGTACAGTTTTATCTATATATATATGATTTTTTTTTTTAATCGGTGTAAATTATATTAAGACAACAGACTTTTTGTCAATGCATCCACCTTCATTAATAATGACTTTATGAATCAGGGTGCATCTACTTTGTTAGATCCTTCATAATCCGTAGAGAAGAACCCCTGTAGCCACCACCAAAATGATTCCAGTGGTTCAGATAGTGGAACAGCTGGTATAGTTGTTGCCTCTTTGCAAAGCCAGCGGCCTTGGGGATCTTCTCATGGTAAGCATTGTAAAACGAGCTCCCAAAACCACCAAACATGCCAGAAATAGCCAGTTCGAACTCTGAATGGCCATAAAATGATGCTGGGTCAAAGATGATGGGACCGTCAGAACATTCGGCCACATTTCCTCCCCAGAGATCTCCATGCAGCAGAGCTGGAACCACCTCTACGTCTGTAAACAGCTGATGGATCTTCAGCTAAACAAAGAGAAACTTGAATCATTTGTCTGAAATACATATGCAGCACTGTATGTAGGCTTAAAGACTGAATCATTAGCTTGTCATTAAATAAAAGGGATAAGGGATGTAGAACAGTTCATTGTTGGAGCTGAGCTGAATGAGCGAGATGCAGAGCATGTGCAGAGCAGGGGGATGCGAGAAACAGTATTAAGAACCGCTGCTTTAGAACATTGATTTTGAAACTTGTGAATCCATTAGAATCGTTAGAAGACAGAATCGCGATTCATATATGAGTAGATTTTTACGTGCACCTCTAGTTTTCTCTTCCTCTTCTCTAAAGCAGCGCAGCATGGCCTCGCCCCCTTTGCTGCCTTTTCCCGAGGGCGGGGTTTATCTGGGTTTGTGATGTCACAAACCCGGGAAGTAACTCGTTGTAGTCCCTACCAGCCGTTTTTGTAGGCATTAAACTGCCAGAATTTTAAAAGACATCTTAGATATCTCCGTTTGCATTGAACTTTCAGCTTCGTAACTTTGCAGATATTGTTTATGCTCAAACAGCAACATTACACAAAAAACTTACGTTAAAAAAGTGAAATTGCAATCAACCACCCCTTTAAAAGAATATATGGCTTTACTCATGTATCTTTACTTACTTTATTCCATCTGAAAACTAGAGACCATATCTTTTTGTATTTTTGGGTGTTATTATGCTTAAGTAAAAATCTGAGCAGTTTGGTTTACTTGAAGTTTGGCCCACAATTCCCTGGCTTCTCTGTCTCCATATGACTGTTCCACCAAGCTGAGCTGGTACTGCAGCCTTTGCTGGGCGAAAAAAGACACCCAATCATCCTGCCAATCATTTACCTGAAAACCAAAGGAGATAAAAACCTCTTATTGCAAATTATGTCTAAATATGAATCACCCCATTTGTTTTTATGATCAAACACCCTGGTGATGCTGACCTGAGGGATATAACCACAGCAGGTAGCCACGTGAAACCCAAACTTGTTGGCTAGTTGAATTTCAGATGTTCCTGATCCTTTTCCTTTGTAAACACAGAAACTCAAATAAATTCTCAAAATTCTACAACAATGCAATATTGGGAGGGGGGAAAAAACATTACCAACAGTCTGCTGTTCCTTGTTTTGTTTCTCTGTCTGTTTCTTGTTGTAAAGATGCAGGTCAGCTAGTTGTTCCCCCAGCTTTGATGAGTATCTACATAAACATTAAACATTTTAAAAAGAGCAAATGCCCAAAATGCTAATGTAATATTGACCCTATTCTCACTCCTATTACAATGGGTTCACATGATTTTGAGTCATACTTATTTAAGCTCCTCATCTCCACATGTTCCATTATGAGAAGAGCTCCACTTCTCTCAAGGTCCACGACCTTCACAGGCCTGGGCACTTTCACTGTGTTTGTAGCCAGGATCGCTTCCAAGCTCACCATCTCTCCATCAAACATCCTTCTAGCCTAAAGAGTAAGAGAGAGATCAGAAAAAAGTCAATGATTTGTACTCTGTATATTTACAGACTGACACTTTACATAATCTATTGATACTTTGTAATGCGAGCATATACAATTACATGGCATAATGATCAACAAATCATTAATTTATGTACGTTCAAATAATGTATATCAAATGATATTGCATAATGTATAGTAGTTTCAAACAGAAACTAGCAAACTGATAAAATAACTGTATAAAACTGTTAAACGAATGTAAAACAAATAAAAGTATATCTTTAAGTTACACATTAACCTATATAATAGTAATTAATATAATACCAATATAATTACAATGCATAATGTGCAGCAGATGATGTTGATGTACGCCCAAATAAAGAGAGTTGTAATTACTGGAAATAGTATATTCACCATTTGTGAAAATAAAAATATTAAATACAATTAGAAAAGTTAAAAATATTTGTTAAAAATATTTTTATTTATCCATGTTCTCATATTTTTTTTTGCAATGTGTTTTTGTAAAATCATAATTGTGATAATATATAAAACTGCTTTAATGTGTTTGCTATTTGCAATAGTTACTATTTACTTCTTTTCATAGTGTTAAAATATTTATTTAACTAAAATCAGTTAAGATTTTAAAACAGGCACCATAATGATTGTTAATTATAATAAATGGGTTCACATGATTTTGAGTCATACTTATTTAAGCTCCTCATCTCCACATGTTCCATTATGAGAAGAGCTCCACTTCTCTCAAGGTCCACGACCTTCACAGGCCTGGGCACTTTCACTGTGTTTGTAGCCAGGATCGCTTCCAAGCTCACCATCTCTCCATCAAACATCCTTCTAGCCTAAAGAGTAAGAGAGAGATCAGAAAAAAGTCAATGATTTGTACTCTGTATATTTACAGACTGACACTTTACATAATCTGTATTAAATACAATTAGAAAAGTTAAAAATATTTGTTAAAAATATTTTTATTTATCCATGTTCTCATATTTTTTTTTGCAATGTGTTTTTGTAAAATCATAATTGTGATAATATGTAAAACTGCTTTAATGTGTTTGCTATTTGCAATAGTTACTATTTACTTCTTTTCATAGTGTTAAAATATTTATTTAACTAAAATCAGTTAAGATTTTAAAACAGGCACCATAATGATTGTTAATTATAATAACAGTATAATAATTGTAACAAAAATGTATCATCCCAGTTTTTTTATTCATATATAATATGTGAGATTTCAATGGTGTATTTTTTAAAAGAAATGAATACTTTTATTTATCAACAATGCATTAAATTGATCAAAAGTGACATTAAAGACATTTATAATGTTACAAAAAATCTAACAGAATTTATTATTTTTCTTTTTTTCTTTTTTTTTTAAATGCTGTGCTTTCTATTGATCAGAGTCCTGAAAAAAATTACACATTTTTCCACAAACATATTAACTGTTTTCAACATTGATAATAATAAGTAATGTTTCTTGAGCAACAAATCAGCATATTAGAATGATTTCTGAAGGATCATGTGACACTGAAGACTGGAGTAATGATGCTGAAAATCCAGCTTTATAATCACAGGAATACAGGTGCATCTCAATAAATTATTGTTAAATGTGAGCCAAAATCATCACAATTAAAAGAACCAAAGACTTAAAACTACTTCAGTCTGTGTGCAATGAATTTATTTAATACACGAGTTTCACAATTTGAGTTGAATTACTGAAATAAATGAACTTTTCCACGACATTCTAATTTATTGAGATGCACCTGTAAGTGACATTTTTAAATATACTCAAATAGAAAGCAGTTATTTATAAATTGTAATAATATTTCACAATATTACTGTTTTGCTGTATTTTTGATCAGATAAATTCTGGTCAAACACCTGAGGGTAGGTGATGGGATCTTGCCCAGCTCGGTCACAGTGAGCACTTTATATGTGGAGGTTTTACTGTAATATATTGTAAACTATGTTTTTAAGTGTCAGGCAGAATTCCACATTGGTTTCATTTGGTACTATTTTCTTTGGCTGAGCTAAAATAAACAATAGAAATAACTGTCAAAATTTAATCTAAAGTTTAATTATTTTTAATCGTGCTGTTGGTAACATGGCTATGGTTCAGCCTCAGGCCAATAAAAATGGTGTTGATATTTAGAACAACAGACTCTTGCTCATGTCATACTTTACATACTCCTTAATAGATATATAAGACAAGTAAGTTTTACATTGGCCCCATTCACTTACATAAGTGTCTCACCACACACACACACACACACACACACACACACACATGTTGTGTTTCCATGTTTTATGAGGACATTCCATAGGCGTAATGGTTTTTATACTGTACAAACTGTATGTGCTATTGCCC